TCAGGTCTGTGACCCACTCATGGTGGTCCAGCACAAGGCCCACATTCATAAATAAAGAATGTCCACACAAAGAGCTTCTTCAATGGTTTCTTTTTAAGATAATAACTTGGCACATGTCATCTCAACTTCACATCTTCATCAATACAGCGTAGAACACTTCGTTGCCACCAACCCAATCTCCTAAAGTCCAACCATCTTTCCAAATGCTCTGTCATGAGTCCCTCCAGCAGTGGGTCCTCACTTGGAGTATTTTCCCTAGCCTAGGCTCAGTAGGCCTACCACTCTTCTTTGCTACAAACCTACATGATGCAGGTCAGGGGTAGCCAAGTCCCATCCAACTTCTGCCCAGGGCTCCCCTCACACCAGGATATAAAGGGCACCAAACTCCACCCACTCACACCATCAAGGGAGTGGTTTCCCTAAGAGGGTACTACCACCTGCTTGCACATTTACAAATTGTGTCCAGCACACAGGGCTGGGACAAGGGGTAGGCAGGAGGGGCAGCTGCCCTGGGTACAGTGGTACCATGTGAGATGGGGGGGGACATGGAGTTCCTATATACAAGCTGACAGGAGTAGTGATGGCAGCTTCACTACTCCTGTCAGCTTAGCTCTGGAGGAGACAAGCCAGATCTGAAGAGGAGGAGAGAGTTGGGAAGAGGGATGGGTTGTGCTCTCTCTCCCTTCCAGCTCTTCCTCCTGCCACTGCAGCTCTCCTGGATCTGGATTGCCGGATTGCCAATGTGCAGTGCTTGTTTACCCTCCTCCATCTTCTCCCAGCAAAAAATGTGGGTAGGGTGTGGGTAAGCAAACACCGCACAGTGGCAATCTGACAGCCAGTGGCATCTCTAGTGCTGGGCACTGACACTGCAATCCCTATATTCCTGTATACCCAGTTTTTTTGTGCTGCCCTAGGCAACACAAAAATTGGTGCCCCCCCCCCCCCCCCTCGCAGAGAGAGCCTGACATTGACCAACAACAAATCTGCCCCCCACCAGAGAGAGCCTTCCACTACCACTTCCCCTCAACACCAGCCACCATCCCCCATAGCAAGAGAGACACTCACCTTCACAGCTCCGGACATCCCCAGGAACAAGAGTTGGGCTGTGCATATACCGTCATGAAACCCGCAGCCTCTCTCAGAACCCACCTGGTCCCCATGCTGCGTGTGTCCCTTCTTCCATCCCTTCTTTCAAGGGGCAGTGCTGCCCCCCCTGAATAATGCTGCCCTAGGCAAATGCCTTGTGGTAAATACACCCCTGTCTATACCTCACCCTATAGTGCTTGAATTTTTTTTTGGGGGGGGGATTTTTGCTGATACATAATGCTCATACATTTTGGGGGGGGGGGGTGCTGTTTCGCTTCTTTGCCCTGGGCGCTAGATGACTTTGCCCGGACACTGCCAGCACATCACCATTCAAAAACAAACAGCAGTACATGAATGGTTGAAGCAAATCTATTTCATTATCATGAACTGGCAAATTACAAGTTTGCTTTAATCTAGCATCTCTGGTCCAGGGGCGGACTGACCATTTGGGCACTCGGGCAGTGCCCGAGGGCCCAGGGTCAGTAGGGGGCCCATGAGATGCCCTTAGTACCTCTCATAGGTTTTTTTTTTTTTTTAAGTGTGGATGAGGTTTTAAGGGGCCCCATGAGTGCCCTTAGTACCTTTCATAGGCTTTTTTTAGGTGTGGTTTTAAGCATGGGTGGGGGACACAGGGGCCCCATGATCCCCTATTACCCGGGGGCCCCATGAGTTGTCAGTGCACCCCTGCTTGGGTCTGTAAGTACCTGAATTTCAATGTCTAAATATTACTTTCCTCAACACCCTCCCCGCCTGTGCTTTTTCCCTCTGCTGCCAGAAGTCCCAGCTCTCCTCCGTTCACATGAGACAGGATTGCTGCCTGATCAGAGCTAAATTGGAAAATATTGATTGGTAGACCAGTCAGAGCACCTAATTTGGTTCACACTGATGGAATATTCCTTCTCTGACTTTGATCCCCCCCCCCCCCCAGCAATTCAATCTCGGCGGCTGGGAAAGGATTTTTGCAGGTTAGCGGTAGATACAGGCTTAAAAGGAAACGTACTGGGGGAAGGTGATTTAAATCCCTGTTCAACAATTAGGAGACATTTGTTAGAGTGTTTCTGGATCCCCGGAGACCTTTGTAGGGGAGTGGGGGTGTCAGACAGTCATCAGTATAACTACACGGGAATGTTTTAATTAATTATTGGTGTAGTAGAAATTCAATTACAGTGTCAACTTATTGATTGTATAGAATTATGCATTGAGTTTTGTATTTACACCTTGATGTATGTAACTGTGACATGACAACGTTTTCTGATCTGTAGTTTAAACAAACCATCCATAATACATAAGGGGATTTAACGACTTGCCCTCAAGAAGATTTATCCCCCCCTAATGACTAGGCCATTTTTTGCGATACGGCGCTGCGTTACTTTAACTGCCAATTACACGGTCATGCGACGCTGTACACAAGTAGAGCTTTCTTTTGGTGGTATTTGATCACCTGTGCGGTTTTTATTTTTTGCTCTATAAACACAAAAAATCAACAATTTTGAAACAACAATATTTTGGACTGTTTGCTATAAAACATGCCAATAACAAAATTAGAAAATAAAATTTCTTCATAAATTTAGGCCAAAATATATCCTGCTACATGTCTTTGGTGAAAAAAAACTCCCAATAAGTGTATATTATTTGGTTTATGTGAAGGTTATAGCATCTACAAATTGGGTTTTATATACTGGAATTTTTCATTTCTTTTTTTTTTTTATATACTAGTAATGGCGGTGATCAGCAACTTATAATGGGATTGCGGTGGGCAATCTGACACTAACTGACACTGGGTGGTAATTGACTAACTGCCACTGACATCTCCAGTGACACTAATATAGTGATCGGTGCTAATAAAAAGTACTGACACTGTAGTAATGACACTGGGCAGGAAGGGGTTAACATCTGGGGCGATCACAGGGTTAACAGTGCACTCTTTGGTGCTTGCTGTGTGCTTTTTTTACTAGGGTATGTGCTGCTTTCTATCTCTCTGCTTTCTATCTCTCTGCTTTGCAGAGAGATAGAAAGCAGCACGGCCCTGCTGACAGAAGAGACCTGTCAGCTTCTCCGGCGATCAGTGAGTCCCAGCCATGAATCGCTGGACTCGGTGATTGACATCTCTGGAACAGGGGCGGACTGACCATTTGGAAACTCGGGCACTGCCCGAGGGCCCGGGGTCAGTAGGGGGCCCCATGAGATGCCCCTGGTACCTTTTTCATAGGCTTTTTTGAGTTTGGGCAAGGACACAGGGGCCCCATGATCCCCTATTGCCCGGGGGCCCCATGAGTTGTCAGTCCACCCCTGCTCTGGAAACCAATGACAGCGTTGGTAGGGCAGCGCACGCTCCCTCTACCCAGAAATGCTAGATCACGTACGTGATTTTGCCCTGTAGCTGTGTATCTGCTATAGGGCGGTCCTTAAATGGTTAAATTCTGCCATTGTTTCTGCAAGACCTTCTGTTTTTTTCTCTATTCCTTTGTATGCCACTTTCATAAGTTACTTTAGACCAGTCATTCTCAACCAGGGTTCCTACAGAGGTAGGCAGGGGTTCCTTCAGCTGTGGCTGATTGACCTCCTATCTGATACTAACTGCAGAGTTCTAGAGAAGTCTTTCTCAACCTTTCTCAACACAGAGGAACCCTTGAAATAACTTTCCAGTCTCAGGGAACCCTGCTAAAAATTACAATATCTATGACTCATGATACATTAGTGTGATGATCAGTGGGAAGAATGCTCCTTACACTTGTGGTCATTGGGAAGGATTGCCCCAGTGTCAGTGGGAACTTATCTGAGAGACAGAAATTTCTGATTGCTTAAGGAACCCCTAGCAACCTTTGGACGAACCCTGATAGAGAAACCCTTTGCTAGAGGTAATGCAACTTGGCAAAAAGGCAGCTGATCTATCTGGCAAACCCGGTCACGATGGCCAAGTCTTCACTGCCCCATACTGGGAAAACCATTTGATCGCTGCTTGGACTTGATAAGTATATGGAACTTACTTTAAGCAACTCTATACCTGCTTTGCATGTTTCCCAAGGGCTTTGAAAATGATGGCATCTTATATACAAGTCACCAACCTATGGGATGATGACTTGTAATATAGTTGGGCAGTGATTCCACGTACCTGTGGAGAGTTTCTCCTCTTGGATGGATATGTCTAGCTATTAAGTGGAGGATGTGCTATTTTCCTGCAAGTGTGTGAGGGAGGTCTCAAATAGGATATTCCAACTAGCCTCCTCTGGACGGAGTACCCTATGGTGGACATTAGAGGGAGGTGTGGAATATACAGTATAAATGTACATGCATCAACCACCTTCCCCTCTCTGGACTACACTTGAGATCCCAGCCCCCCACTCTCTACAAGCTTGGAGGTCCATACATTGTTGTTCTTGAACACTTTGAATCCGGTATTGTAGAGGGGAGCAGGGGCGGACTGACCATTTGGAAACTTGGGGCACTGTCTGAGGGCCCGGCGTCAGTAGGGGGCCCATGAGATGCCCCCCTGGTAACTTTTTCATAGGCTTTTTTGAGTTTGGGCAAGGACACAGGGGCCCCATGATCCCCTATTACTCGGGGGCCTCATGAGTTGTCAGTGTGCCTCTGCTTTGAACAATAAAAATAAATTAAAAAGCGCTTTTGGTTTGTGGTACTCAGATGCAGGGTAAGCAAATATGCGGCCTCTAAACGGCTAAGCCTTGACACCGAGAGGCCACATATTTGCGTACCCGATGGAAACAAGGCAAAGTCACCGGTGCCTCACAGAAAGCTTCCGAATGCTACTTGCGATTAGGAGCTTTCCAATCGTGACTGCTGTGACAGCCAATCACGGCAATCACATGACCCTAAACCCCGCCCACCTCCCGGCGTCAGAAACCCCTTGAAGGGCCAGGAGGCGTTAGACCCAAAGGGGTTTAAAGTGTTACTAAACCCTGCATTCAATATATCTGGTCTCCCACAGTACACAGAACATGGAAATGTAATTATTATAGTAAATATAAACTGCTAAATACCTTTTCTCATCAGTAGTTACAGCGGTCTTGTGACTTCTATCAGTGTCCAGCACAGCACATGTTAGAGCTTGTAGGAGGAGTTTTCATTCTGCTCTAGGAGAATGCAGAACCCCTGACCTCTGTCTGGACAGTGCTGATTACATGCACTCTCCCAAGAAAAAGAAAAACCTCTCTAGCAATAAACACCAAACTGAGCATGTGCAGAGTATCTCCACACAATATTTTTTATCAGGAGAAAAAAGGGGGGCACTGCAAAAAAGGGGAGGATCAGAGAAGTCGGGATCAAACAGCATTTTTACACAATGCAGAGGATTAACCCCTTAGGTTCCACAGTGAGTATAACAAGCACGCTTTACTGCATATTCAGACTGATTTTACTGTTGTGGGTTTAGTAACACTTTAAGTATTATTAACCTTAATAATATGATATCATAAAATGTATATTAATATAATACTGTATAAAATGAATGTATAAAAAAATAATAATACTGACCATCAAGAACGCAATCCCCAAATTATTATTATATGATTATCTTATGAAATATGGACCTTAGATGAATATAAATTCACAGTAGAAATTTTATATGATGGTAAAATTAACAATTGTCAGATATTAGGATTAGGTAATGAAAGTAAAATATTGCTGTTGTTCATCTATTATTAGTATTATCACTAACATTATTGAAATGAAGAAGAATAATAGTAATAATATTCAATAAGCTCCCAGGATCAGGCCCTCTAACCCTCTTGTATTGAACCATATTGTTGCTGTATTGTCTCCCTTATATTGTAAAGCGCTGAGCAAACTGTTGGCGACATATAAATCCTGTATAATAATAATAATTCAAGCAATAATGATATCATATGCAAACTATGGATGGTTCCGCAGAACAAGCTGATACATATTACACCATCCACATCCACATGTCAGTGAAATCACCCTTGTGCCCTATAGGGCTCTTTAGCGGTACAAAAATTAGAATTGGCTGAAAGTAACAGAAAAAAGGTTAAAAATATGTCATCCTTTCCTTGAGGCAGTGATCTCTCACTCAAATAAATATATGAAAGCATCCACAGTGCTAGTAGATGCGAAAAAAAAATGGAATTAGCTTATCTGAGGCAGGGATTTTGAGACTGTTAGAGGCATACTAAGTATTGTGAATGGCAGCTCAAGGTCTACAGTTGCAAGAAAAAGTATGTGAACCCCTTGGGATTACGTGGAGTTTTGCATGAATTGGGCATAAAATGTGCTCTGAATGTCATCTAAGTCACAACAATAGAAGAACACAGTCTGCTGAACATAATACTACACAAACATTAGATGTTGCCATGGTTTAATTGCACATAACATGTAAACATTCACAGTGCAGGGAGGAAAAAGTATGTGAACCTTTGGACTTAATAACTGGTTGTCCCTCCTTTGGCAGCAATAACCTCAACCAAACGTTTCCAGTAGTTGCAGATCAGACCTGCACAACGATCTGGAGTCATTTTGGACCACTCCTCTTCACAAAACTGTTTTAGTATAGCAATATTCGTGGGATGTCTGGTGTGAATCACTCTCTTAAGGTCATGCCACAGCATTTCAATCGGGTTGAGGTCAGGACTCTGACTGGGCCACTCCAGAAGGTGTATTCTGTACTGTCATTAAGCTAGTGCCTCACATACTTTTTTCTCCCTGCACTGTGAATGTTTACATGTTATGTGCAATTAAACCATGGCAACATCTAATGTTTGTGTAGTATTATGTTCAGCAGACTGTGTTCTTCTATTGTTGTGACTTAGATGACATTCAGAGCACATTTTATGCCCAATTCATGCAAAACTCCACGTAATCACAAGGGGTTCACATACTTTTTCTTGCAACTGTATTAGCACAGGCTGGTGCCTTTCTTATTAAAAACAGAGAGCGGCAACCTGCAAATGTGAGAAACAACACCCCCAACATCTTTAGCTGGCTGTACCCATTCAACCCATGGGTGGCCTTGTTGACACCCTCCACCCAACATCCTTGAAAGGATCCAGGTGGAAAATTGTCAACTGAACAGTTGATGCATCCAATCACATATATGGCCTGCTTTCATCTTCTACTGATCAATGAGACCATGCATTACATTAAAAGACCACTTGGTAAGCTCAGGAGTCAAAGCCAAGCTAAACTTTTCCGGACAAGTGAAGATCTGCATAGAACATCCGCTGCTTATACACTGCTCAGAAAAATGAAAGGAACACATTGAAAACACATCAGATCTCAATGGGGAAAATATCCTTCTGGATATCTATACTGATATGGACTGGGTCAGGTGTTAGGAACATAAGGATTCCCCATCATTTGATGGAAATGAAAATGATCAGCTTACAGAGGACTGAATTCAGACACCCTGAAAATCAAAGTGAAAAAATGATGCAGCAGGCAAGTTCATTTTGCTGAAATTTCATTGCAGCAACTCAAAATGGTCCTCAGTAGTTTGTATGGCCTTCTATGTTTGTAGTGCTTGTATGTATGCCTGACAACGTCGGGGCATGCTCCTGATGAGACAATGGATGGTGTCCTGAGGTATTTCCTCTCAGATCTGGACCAGGGCATCTTTGAGCTGCTGGACAGTCTGAGGTGCAACCTGGCGGCATCGGATGGACCAAAACATGACATCCCAGAGGTGTTCTATTGGATTTAGGTCAGGCTAGCATAAGGGCCAATCAATGGTATCAATTCTTTCAACCTCCAAAACTGCCTGCATACCTTCCCAAATGAGGCCGGGCATTGTCGTGCACCAGGAGGAAACCAGGACCCACTGCACCAGCGTAGGGTCTGACAATGGGTCCAAGGATTTCATCCCAATACCTAATGGTAGTCAGGGTGCCATTATCTAGCCTGTAGAAGTTTATGCGTCCTTCCATGGATATGCCTCCCCAGACCATCACTGACCCACCACCAAAACGGACATGCTGAACAATGTTACAGGCAGCAGAACGTTCTCCACGGCTTCTATAGACACTTTCACGTCTGTCACATGTGCTCAGGGCGAACCTGCTCTCATCGGTGAAAAGCACAGAGTGCCAGTGGTGGACCTGCCAATTCTGGTGTTCAATGGCAAATGGCAATTGAGCTGTATGGTGCAGGACAGTGAGCAAAAGACCCACTACAGGATGTCGGGCCCTCAGACCACCCTCATGAAGTCTGTTTCTGATTGGTCAGAGACATTCACACCAAGGCCTGCTGAAGGTCATTTTGTAGGGCTCTGGCTGTGCTTATCCTGTTCCTCCTTGCACAAAGGAGCAGATACCGATCCTACTGATGGGTTAAGGACCTTCTATGGCCCTGTCCAGCTCTCCTAGAGTAACTGCCTGTCTCCTGGAATCTCATGCATGCTCTTGAGACTGTGGTGGGAGACACAGCAAACCTTCCGGCAATGTAATGTATTGAGTTGGACTGCCTGTGCAACCTCTGTAGGGTCCAGGTATCGTCTCATGCTACCAGTAGTGACACTGACCCTAGCCAAATGCAAAACTAGTGAAAAACAGTCAGAAAGACTGAGTAGGGAAACAAATGTGAGTGGCCGCCACCTGTAAAACCATTCCTGTGTTGGGGGTTGTCTCATTGTTGCCCATCTAGTTCACCTGTTGTTAATTTCATTAACACCAAGGCAGCTGAAACTGATTAACAACCCCCTCTGCTACTTCACTGACCAGATCAATATCCCAGGAGTTTAAATGACTTGATGCTATACCCTGAATAAAAAGTGTTCCTTTACTTTTTTTGAGCAGTGTATTTCTGCATCTGCTGCTCTCTTTGACATTTCACAGAAGATAACTTTTGCTGATGCATTTTTAATGCATTCTCAATTTGATTTGCTCAGGTTTGTGACTATAACAAAAATGGAAATTGCAGCGCCACACTACTGCTAAGAGGTTCAGATATAAATTTATTCCAATAAAAGTCAGTAACCCACAGCTCCCAACTGTCCCTGATTTCGAGGGGACTGTCCCTCTTTGATCCTCATTTGTCCCTCATTTTGGTCTGAGCTATATAGTTGTATATAAAATGCACTACTTATCTATCAAAAAGTGTTTTACAGTGCTATACTTTTCACCAAATTTCTAAATTGCTGCATTTTAAATTCCAAAAGCCAATATAAAGTAATGGTAGCAATAAAAAAGCACACTTCGTTTAAACAATCTTTTTTTTATACAACTCTCCTTTAAGGGGGCGTGGCAAGGGGTGTGTCCTATACGTACATACTTTTGCTAATAGGTATCCCTCATTTCCATTTCATAACGTTGGGAGGTATGGTATCCAACGTGTTTCGGGGGTCCAAGAGAGCCCGCTCCTTCTTTAACAGGGAATGATTGACAACAATGTGAATAGACTAGAAATGTCAGCTAAACCAGCTGTTGTCAAGGCCTGTGCTTGCAATCACACTGGAAAAAAAAGAACATTAAAGGTCCTTTTCACTTCTAGTCTATTCATGTTGTTGTCAATCAAGCCCTGATGAAGGGGATGCTCTTGGACCCCCAAAATGCATTGGATACTTTTTGGATTAGCCCCATGACTGTTACTGAAATAAAGTTGTATCTGGGACCTTTTAGCAGTGGTGCTGCTCTTTCTATTTCCAGTTTTGTTACATTACACTACAAGCCAAGAAAACTATGGAGATTCCTGGAAACCAGATAATTTTATTTCAACATCAATACTTTAACAGAGATATGTAAAAAGAGGGTGCAGCCCTCTGGTGAGTGCATCTGGTGAGTGCATGATTCAATTAATTTTGATCACCGGAAGACGCACGTTTTGAATCACCGTTTTGTTATTTTTAAGGACTTTTTTTTGCACAATGTTTTGCACATAATAGTCACACATTCTTACATTAGTTGCTATATGTTTATTTATCAGAGGTAATTGTATTATCCTTAGCGCTGCGCCCTCTTTTTACATGTTCTTTGTAGGTTTGTTGGTACCTTTTGGTGTACAGCAGCTCCTTATCTAGCGCTCACTTCCATTTTTCTTTGATTTAACAGAGATAACCCAGTGCTATTTCTCTGTTCTCCTAAACAGGTTTGTGAAAGGCTTACTTTAAAGCCCACAGTCAGGTATTTTTGAACAGCATAAGGGATGGTAC